AAGATTTAACATGGGCATTTTACTTTGGGGAAGAATGCAATTCAGGACCAATTACCGTTTCACAGGACTATGAGGAAATCTTTAGCCACAGACTCTTTCACTCTGTAGCCCTTCCTGGACTTAATCCAGGTTCAGTTTAGCAGAAGAGAAAACTGTATGTGTAAGTACTCTCCTACATACACACTCTTGGCAATGTGACTTGCACTGCCCCAGGAGATGGGGTCTGTTGCCCCACCCTGTGCATCTGGGCTGGTCTTGTTATTTACTTTGCTAATAGAATGCAGTGGAAATGACATTGAGCCAATCATGAACCAGTGTCTCATGAAGCCTTGCATGCTTCTGTTCTTGGACTTCTCCCATGCCACAAGTTCAAGCCCAAGCTAGCCTGCTGGAGGATGAGAGCTTGTGTGGAGTAATGTCAAGTTATCACAGCCAATGCAATTCTAGATCAGCCCCCCGCGAACTGCCAGGCAGAGATCAATCAAAATTGCCTCAGATCAGAACTGCTCAGCCAACCAACCTATACATTCCTCAGCTAAGTAAATGCCTGTTGTTTAAGTTTAGCATGATTTGTTACATGGCAATAACGAATGGAGATAACATTTAAGGCAATATTACTAGGCTTCTAAAATTTATCCCACACCCCCTTCACTCCTGCTCCAATAGCACAGAACTTTCAGATAGGCAGATCTAGTTTTAAGTCTTCTTGGAAACATGGATTAGCCAGATGACTTGGACAAGTTAATAGTTCTAAGGCTCAGATTTCTTATCTATAAAATAGGGCCAGTAATAATTGTGGCAGAGAAGGGACCTAGTTGGCCCCCAGTTTATCTTCTTTTCTCCATGTTTTAGATCTCCCAATCTTTAGCTGGGCACATGCCACCCACCTAGGTGTGTTTACATGACTAAGTTCTGGCCAATGAGCTCTAAGTGAAATGTCATGTCATAGGAATCTTCCTACGGGAACCAGTGCGCTTCTTTTGCCCCTCTTTTCCTTCAGCCCTTTCCTCTCTGTTGGCCTTGCAGCTAGGGACCACTTATCGGGGAGAAAGAGTTTGGGTCCCCAAGGACTTTGTGGAGCAGAACTGTGAAACCAGACCTAGACTGCCTACCTCTGGACTTTTATGGGAGAGAAATAAAATTCTCCCTTGTTTAAGACGTTGCTGTTTTAGGTTTCTGTTACTCACAGTTGAACCTAGTCTTAGCTAATATAAATACCTTCCTTGCTGGTTTGTTGTGAGTTAGGCGATAAGTACCTGACATCATGCCTTGTACAGATAACATAAGTGCCTGACGTCATACTTAGTATACAGTAAGTGACAGTAAATGAATGTAGCACGTATTATTTTTTGATTTATAATAACGGTAGAGGAAATAGCAATATACCTCCCCAGCCAATGTTGAGATAAAACTGGCAATACTGTTGAAGTCAGCTAAAGTTATGGCTGTAGTCACAACATTTACATAATAGTATAGATCTATGACATGTGTTTGTTGATAATACTATCTTAAAGAGTTTCCTTCTTAACTCACTCCTCACTAAATTAAAGTTTTATCTTAATGAAATTTGAGAAACAGATCTACATTAGCAGTGTTAGTGCAGCATTTACTTGGCCATAAATTTTAACTCACTCATGTAGTAATCCCCTCAAAATACGGCAAAACAGGAGATTTTTTAACGTTTTTTTCTCATAAATATTTCAAAATTATATTAAGAAAATGCAATCTTTAGATGTACTTGAAAAGTAATGTTATATATTAAATTACTACATTCGCTCAGGCAATACAGTTTCTTAACAAAAAATTATACCGCAGCTTTAAAATACTGAAAAACTTTATTTTAGCTATTGGAAGACAAAATAGTTTTCAGAAAATGATTACCATTGTAACTCTGCCATTAGCTTCTTTGGTATTCCCTACTGTGAAGATTATTATTTTGAGACTTGGAAAGTCAGCAAAAAGGCATGCAAAGCCTCCTCCAGCCCTGAATCAATTTTTTAAGACAAATTTTCCTCAGAAATACGGTGAAACACAGAGAAGTCATTCATTATGAGTTCCTCGAGCAAAAATTCTTTTTAATTATTCGGACATTGGAAAAGGAACTCACAGAGAAATACTGTTCACAGCGGATTCCATAAAGCATTTGACAGTTATGTGTCACTAGCAAAGTGACTATTAGGTCCCAATTTAACTGGAATGGGGCTTCCACCATTAAGGTGCCTTTTAAAGTTAATTAGTTGCAGAAATCGATTATGAAGACTTTTAATAAGTCCTATACTGTGAAGGTCAGTAGAGATTTTTTAAATGGCTATTAGAGGAAGTTGGTCGGAAGAGTCTTAAAAAAAAATCCAAACTAATTTAACAGGAGAGTCAAGGTTTTAAGGTTTAAGTAGTCTTGAGATGTCTTAAGGAGGGATGGTAGTCTGACTCATGAGACACACGAGTACATGAGAAGCATAAGTCAAGGCAAGAGGTGGGACAGTCTGTGGTCCAGGTGCCTATCAGTACGGCCAGTGGGATACTAGTTGGGAACAGTAGAGCATAGGGCTGGGAATGCAGATTGTGATGTTACTGTGACGTTACAATGGGCTCTTGCAGCTAATTCATTAATAATTGGTAACCATTAAAGGGTTTTAACAGAAAGGTTAAATAAAAATCAGTCCTGACTTCACTGGGTGGATTCTACCAAACATTTACAGAAGAGTTAATACCAATTCTTCATGAATTCCTCTAAAAATTTGAAGGACAGAGAGCACTTCTCAACTTGTTCTATGAGACCAGTATTACCCTGACACTAAACCCAGGCAAAGACAGCACAAGAAAAGAAAATTATAGACCCATATCACTTATAATTATAGATATAAAAATCTTCAACAGAGAATTTAAAAACCAAGTCCAGCATCATATAAAAGGATTATCATACATGACCAAGTGGAAGTTATACCAGGAATGCAAGGTTGATTGAACATTTAGAAAAAAATCCAGTAATGTCACCATATCAATAGGAAAAAACAATAACCATGTAAACATCTCAGTAAATGCAAAATAAGCATTGGGAAAAAAACAACCCTCATGAGAAAAAAATTCAGCAAACTAGGAAGTGAAGCTAACTTCCTCAACCTGATGAAAGCCATCTAGAAAAACCCATAGCTAATATCATACTTCCTGTTCTTTTCCCTTAAGGTCAGAACAAGACAGGGACGTTTGCTCTCACCAGTTCTGTTCAACATTGTACTAAAAGTTCTATCCAGGGCAATTAGGCAAGAAAAAGAAATAAAAGTCATCTCAATTAGAAAAGAAGTAAAACTATCTCTAATTGTAGATGACATGATCTTGTATACTGAAAATCGTAAGGAATCCACATTTTAAAAAACCCCATTAAAACCAATTAAAAAGTACAGCAAGGTTGTACGATATAAGATCACTATGCAAAATTAATTATATTTTTAATCAATGAATGATCCAAATATGAAATTAAGAAATTCCACTTATCATAGTATCAAAAAGAATCAAATATGTAAGAATAAATTTAACAAGAGAAGTGCAGAACATATACTTTGAAAACTACAAAATTCATTGAAAGAAGTTAAAGATGATCTAAATAAATGGAAAGACATTGCATATTGATGGATCAGAAGACTTAATACTGTTAAGATGGCAATACTCACAAATCAACCCACAGATTCAATGCAATTCCTGTCAGAATCTCAAGTGGATTCTTTGTAAAAATTAATAAGCTGATCCTAAAATTCATATGGAAATTTAAAGGCTCAAAAATAGCCAAAACAATCTTGAAAAGAAGAACAAAGTTGGAGGACTCACATTTTCCAATTTCAGAACTTACTATTAAGTTACAAATAATCAAGACTACGATACTCATGTAGGGATAAATACACACACACAAACACACATAAATATATACATATGTGTGTGTATATATATTATCTATCTATCAATCTATATATCTATCTCAATCAAATAGAATGGAGAATCCAACATAAACTCTCACATTTATTGTCAATTGCTTTTTGACAAAGTTGCCAAAACATTGAAACAGAAAGATTAATCTTTTCAACAAATGGTACTGGGACAATTGGATTGTCTACATACAAAAGAATGAAGCTGGACCTCTACCTTACACCATACACAAAAATTAACTCAAAATGAATCAATGACCTAAATGTAAGAACTTAACCTATAAACTTACAAGAAAACATAACGGTAAGTCTTCTTATATTGGATTTGGCAATGGTTTCTTAGATATGACACCAAAATACAAATAATCAAAGGGAAAAAAAAGATAAATTGGACTTCCTCAGAATTAGTAACTCTTATACTTCAAAGGACACCAATAGAAAGTAAATAAACAAATCAAAGAATGGGAAAAAATATTTGTAGATCATACATGTGATAAGGGACCTGTATCTAGGATATATAATACTTTAGTCAATGGCAAACAAATAACCCAATTAAAAAATGGTCAAAAATCTGATTAGACATATCTCCAAAGAAGATATATAGATTGCCAATAAACACATGAAAAGATGCTCAACATCACTAGTCATAAGGGAAATGCAAATCAAAAC